TTCTGCAGCGAGGGTGGCGGCCGCGCCGCGCCGGGCGGACGGGACGGGCCTGCCTTATTTATGTGTCCCCGTGTCGCCTTCTTCCCCGAAGACTTCAGGGATCGTCTCGCAGCTGCGTTTCCCGCGTGGAGGCCCGGCAGGGCTGGATGTCTGAACATGATTATCCACTAATATCCAAACTTTCCTTTTTTTAACCCAAAGAATATCGGTGATTTTTGTCCACTGCGAGAAGAACCCGGGACCCTTGAAATGCAGCAAAGCCTTTATTTATAAACAGGCCTGAGGTGTGACAGGCAAGCGCCCCCTGCCCATTGAGTTTTCTATCCTATGGATATCGGTCTGGAGAGCTGAAGGAGACTTGAAGTGGGAGAGCAGTGCCGTCTGCCCTGGGTCCTGCGGCCTCCTTCCTTTCAATGCCCAGTTTCCTCTGGGACTGCTGGCCTTCCCTGGAGCTCAGAGCGGTCCTGTGTGCCATGGGCTGTATTCAGAGCATCGGGGGCAAAGGCAGAATCTTCCGGGAAGGCATCACGGTGATTGACGTGAAAGCCTCCATCGACCCCGTCCCCACCAGCATCGACGAGTCCTCCAGCGTGGTGCTCCGCTACCGGACACCCCACTTCCGTGCCTCGGCCCAGGTGGTCATGCCGCCCATCCCCAGGAAGGAGACCTGGGTAGTGGGCTGGATCCAGGCGTGCAGCCACATGGAGTTCTACAACCAGTACGGGGAGCAGGGCATGTGAGTACTGTTCAGGAGCAAGCTTCGGGGGGCTGCTTGGGTGTGGAGCTTGCTGGTCTGGGGTGAGGGGTCAGGTCCTCACCAGGGGCAGAGGGGGGCTTTAGGCATGTCCGGAAGGGACCTCTGAGTCCTCCTTGGCCACGTGACCTCCTAGAGGGCTTGCGTGTTGCCTCAGATTGGGCTCGTGGCTCTTGGATCCTCTTCCTCCCCTGCCCCCCGAGGTTGCTGAGAAAGCAGAGGAGCCCTGGCTGGGTAGCTCAGGGGTTAGAGAGTCGTCCTGGTACGCTGAGGTTGTGGGTCTGATTCCCGCAACCAGTGAATGCATAAATAATTGGAACAACCAATTGATTTCTCTCTCTCTTCCTTCCTCTCTCTCTTTAAAATCAACCAACCAATCAATCAAAAGCAGAGGGAATTCCATCAGGCGCCTCTTTGACAAAGCAAGCATGCTGTCGGGATCAGCAGAGGCCACGGCTGGGCCCCAGGCTCCAGCCCTGCGAGCCCACGTGGCGGACGCTCAGGGAAGGAACTGGGCGCCCTGGAGCCGCCTGAGTTATCTGCCCAGAGCCGTGTGGCTGGGTCGGAACTGGTCTCTGGGGTCTTCAGACGCGCCTCGGCTTTGGGTAGAGGGGTGGGGGGTGCTTCGCTGTTACCCGTGGTGTGTTTGAGAGGATGGGGCCGGTTTTAGAGACCAGGTTTGCTTCGTGGGGTCACATTTTTTCTCTCCAAGGCGGGAGGCCACTTAAGTGGACATCAGTTTCAGGCCCCAGCGGGGCCCTGACAGCTGAGAGGAGCCCTCTGGCCTCTCTCTCCAGCCTGGCCTCCAGGATAACGGAAATCTCGGGGCAGGACCGAGCCCTGGGCTGCTTTTCTGGCATGTTCCCTGGTCCCAGGTGGTCATCCTGCGTGTGGAAGAGCAGTGGTGGACTTCCCCTGAAGAGCCAACCTCAGGCAGGGCGGGGACAATAGCTGTTTCCAGGGCACGGGGGCCTCTCCGAGGGAGCTGCCCGGCCACTCTCCCGCAGCCCCTCTCTCAGCGTCCATTCTGTGCAGCACCCGGGTCTGCAGTGAGGACGAGATGCCCAGGAGCAGGACGTTGGGCTGTTTAGGAACATCCTGGGCCGCCTGAGATTAGAGGGGGGTCTGGAGGGCATGGGGATGGGGGGGACACCAAATGCTACGGCTGCTCCACCACTGACTGAGTTATAAGGGAAACGGGAACACAGTCAAACTTAGAGGAGGGCGTAACTGAGATCGCCCATGAGGCCTATCTAGACGGACACTCACGATCCTCCGCCAACCTGTTTCCACGCCCAAGCCCTTTAATTCCCGAAAGCGGCCCTTAATCCAGGCCGGGGGCCGACTTCCCATTCCAGAGGGAAACGTGAGCTTCAGCTATTTGGTGTGAACCTTTCCTAAGTAGCCGTAAGCTCGAAGCCTTCGAGGCGTCCGGGCAACTAGCGGATGGAAGGGGTTCCAGAGCCTCAGGCCAGGCTCTGGGGTCGGGTAGGCAGGGGCCCTTCAGCACAGGGAGGGCGCGGGTGCCGGGGGAGAAAGGGGTGTGATGTGATGAGGTGAACGTGAGGTGCGGCAGGAGGGCACAGGCCTGGCTCGGAGCCTCAGTCTTCCCATCTGTGCATAGGGTTTCCAGTCCTCCAGGCCTTGCCCTCTGTGCAGCGGCTCTGGCGACGCCCAGGCACTGGCTGGAGGCAGGCCCGAGCCCGGAGACCCGAGATGACCTTTCTCTTCCTGTGCCAGTCCTTGCCTCCTGGGTGGGGAGCCCAGAGCGCACCTCAGCTGCAGTCACCCAGCCCTGGGCGGCCGTCCAGGCTCTGCTGCTCTCCAGGGTGTGACCTGAGCCACTCTGACCATTGGTTTCTTCCTCTGCAAACCGGGGCATCCTAGCCCGTGCGCCATGGCTCATTGCGAGAATGATGGGAGACGCTTGTCAAGCAGTCGGCGGCACGCCAAGCCCCCGGCACAATACTCAAGGCGAGCGGCCCTGTGATGGTAATTGGGGTGATTTTCTGATGGGGAGGCAGCGACCGCATCTGTAATGAGTTGAAAATCGTGGCTGAAATCAGAATGCCGACCGACATGAGTAACTCTTGCAGTGAGTTTTCTCCCTGGCCCCGGCCTTCCTCTTTTGACACAGGGCAACTCCCCGACTTCTGCAAGTTTTGAAATAGTTGTGAGCGACTGGCATTTCCAAGGGGCTGACGGCCGGCTTCCTGGCTGTCTACCTGCTTCCCTGGGTCCGTCCCCTCCCCTTGGGACCCCTCTGTTGGTCAGGACCCTCTGTGTCGGCGTCCCACCCTCCTGGGCTCCTGATCCCGGGTGGAGGGGCCCAGTCCCAGAGGAGGGGCAGAGTTTAAGGCTCCCTGGGAGGGTCGTGTCCTTCATGGGCTCAGACCCTGGGGTCGGGATGACTGACCAGTGGTGATGCCAGGGCTTGAGGGTCAGCGCTGTCATCGGCCGCTGTGAGGGTTCGAGAGAGGACAGGTGTAGGTGAGGGTTCGTGAGATGGTTCGTGTAGATGACGCCCCGGGGCTGAAATGCTGAGTTGGAAGCTGCTCGACTTACTATTAATCAACAAAATCGTTTTAAGAATCACCGAACAGCGCGGCTGTTCTGAGCCGGAGCCACTGGGAACGGGAAGGGCTGGCTTAGAGGAGGCCTGAGTGTGTGACGCAAACACCCTCCCCATCCATCTCCCTGACCCCCAGTGACTCTTCATGTCTTTAAGCCCCGCGACATGAGAGTGAGGAGGGAGGAGCCGGCAGGCTGCCCAGGGGCCTCCCGCTGCCCAGAACTGCGCCCTGGCTTCGCCGGGACCAGAGGCTGTGCTGTGCGTAGTAGGACGTGGTCCAGAGCCCCTGGTTTCCACCTGCTCGATGACAGCAGCCCCCCAAAGCCCTGTTGTGACAACCAAAAGTGTCTCCAGACACGGCCGGCTGTCCCTGGGAGGGGTGCGAAGCCACCGCTGGTTGAGAACCACCGGGCAAGACCCAGACAATTTGAATCGTTCAAATGAAACCCACGCACTGGGCTTCAGTGGCCCGAGGCGGGCCCGTTACACATGGGCTTGTACTCAAAATATTAATTCCAAGTACTTAACCAAAACCTATTAATACCCCCAAACATTATCCCTGCTGGAGATTAATCTCTATCCAGGGGAACTTTTTAGAATGATAATCTGGGTCTGAAATATTTGAAGGGGGACAATAATGTGACTCCCACAGACAGCCATACAATGCTGAGCTTCTCCGAGCCAGCTTGAGAGGATGCTATATGGTTTTGGGTCCAACCCACATTGCTTTCAAAGCCTCCCTCCCCCCCCTCCACCCCAAACTGTTGGAGACACCTGCCTCCACAGCCCCGTCCCCCGCAATTCCTCAACCGCCACCTATCAGCTGGCACAGTCTTCTGAGTGACAAGTCACAGTTTCTCGCCTGTGTGGGAGACGCTTCACATTGTCCCCAGTTTGCCCCTCTCTGGAGCCCCCACGGGAATCTGGCCCACAGCTATGCCAAGGGCCTGGTTCAGTTCTGGCTCTGGGTTCTGCCAAAGGGCAGACCTGGGGGGAGGGGAGGAGAGCAGCAGGGCGTGGGCCCAGCTCCGCCATTCACTGGTGCTGCGACCTTGGGCCCTTCTCTCAACCTTTCTGAGCCCCACTGTTCCCATCTGTGAAGTGGGGAGAACAGGCCTTCCCTCACACAGGGGTGGTGAGGGTTACGTGAGGGCAGGCACCGCGAGCACCTAGCACAGGGCCTGGTGCATCGGAAGGCTGGATCCGTGGTAGCTGTCAATGTCATGACTGCTGGTGATTAATTATTAATGAGCAACGCCGGCAGTGTCAGCATAAAGATGGCTATATTGTGTTGTCGCTGCGGCTGCCTCCTCTCGGGGTTGGGTTTCACGCACCCGTCTACAGTGTGAGCGCCCTGGACGATGAGATGTGTGAGGGTCTTTCCAGCCAGAAGGTGGAGCGGTACAGGCTGCCTCAGGGTGAGCTGGTAGGAAGGGCCGGGCAGGTTGGAGGGGCCTGCGGCCTGGGGCTGGGGCGCTAGAGCTGCTGGCGTGCAGCGGGGCCTGCTCCCTCTCCTCTCTGTTACTTTCCAAGGACCTCATCTGAGGAGGAGGAACCAGCCCGAGGCCTGAAGCCACTGCCCAAGGAAGCTTGCCGCTCCAGTGGGTCTGGGACAGGCCGAGGAACGGCCGGTGACCACATGGCCTCTTCCTGCAGCCAGGCCTGAGCCAGGGGCCCCCACACAGAACAATCGAGGATGCTGCTTCCTCTCTGCGACCGGAAGGTGGCCTCCCCCGGCTGCTGGGCCTGGCCGAGGGCGGGCGGCGTGGGTGGGAGAGGGAAGTCCTCGTTTCCAGGCTTTGGGGTGGGCGGAAGTGGCGGGGGACTGCCCGGCCAAAGGGAACTCCCCCCGACTGGCTCTAGCCAAGGGATCCCCCCCAACCCTCACCACCGAGTGCCCCAAACAAAGGCTGGCTGTTCGGGAGACGTGCGCGAAGGCAGCGCCATGATCAGGGAAATAAATTAAACACACGTCCATGTTTTTGCGGATCGGATCTGGGTAAAATGAAAACGATCAGTAAGTGGACTATGGTGGCTCCCACGAGGGAAACCGATCGGATTCTAGATGGCATTGGAAATAAGCTGTAAAAGACATAGGGAGCCATTTTTCATTAAAAAGACGTCGTGACAATGGGAACGTAGACTGTGTGTGTGTGTGTGAAAGGTCTAGAACAGCGGTTCTCAACCTGTGGGTCGCGACCCCTTTGGGGGTTGAACGACCCTTTCACAGGGGTCGCCTAAGACCATCGGAAAACACATATATAATTACATATTGTTTTTGTGATTAATCACTGTGCTTTGATTATGTTCAACTTGTAACAATGAAAATACATCCTGCATATCAGATATTTACATGACGATTCATAACAGTAGCAACATTACAGTTATGAAGTAGCAACGAAAATAATTTTATGGTTGGGGGTCACGGCATCAGGAAGGTTGAGAACCGCTGGTCTGGAAGGATGTTTACCAGCGGGTAACCTACCTCGGCGAGGGCGGGCAGCGCGGAAGAGACGCTTTCATTTCTCACTTTGTGCACTTCTCTGCGGCTGGTGCTAAAAAAAAAAAAGCACAGCTTTTACGACTAAGAACTGAAGTTAAACAGGCACCTTTGGTCTATTCCTTCCTGTTAGGCCCAGGGCCGGCGTGGCCTGGGTGGAGCGGGGCGCAGGGCAGCGTGGGGCTAGTGTTTGGGGATCCAGGGCAGGTGGGGAGTGGGGGGCACTGCAGCCCCTCCCCCAGAGAGCAGGCGTCCGTGACCCGTTTGGTGGGGGGCCAGCCTGGTGGGTGCCCACCCGCCTGGGGCGGAAGTCAGGAAACCGGGGTCCCACTCTGGCTTCAGGGTAGCTTTTGGGCCTCAGTTTCTGTAAAATTGCAAAAATTTGCAGAATTTGAACTTTTTGAAAATTGTCAAAACTGTTTTCTTGAGGACGAGGCAAGACCATCCCTGGGTGCCCGTCGGGCCCAAGCCAGGGCCCGGAAACCAGCGGCAGGAGCTGGGCGGCCCCGGGCCGCGGCCTCAGTCCTCCCGTGACTGTTTCTCAGTGCCCAGCGGGCGCCGTGAGACTAGTGTCAGCTTACTGTCACTTGAATTTAAAGCAACACATTTATTTTAATATATATGAGAAAAAATATATCGATATGTATTTAGCATCTTTGTTATTTCAAAGGTATTTCTTAGGAAAAGTTTAGTTGAGTTTTTTAAAAAGTGATTGATTTGAAGGAAAACAGTGCAGGAGGTGTGTGCACAGGACCCCAGTGAAGATACAGGAAGTTGGCTCACTGCTGAGGCCTAGGGGGCTGCGTCCGCAGTCAGAGTCCCGCCCACACCCACGGGGAGGGACCCCAGGGGTGCGTCTGGCCGTCCATGCCCGGGAGAGCCCAGGCCCAGGCTCACCACCCTGCCTGGCTGGGTCTGCAGGAGCCAGGGCTGTGCCCCCGTGGTCCCAGGAGGGCCTCCCCCGCACACCCTGGGCCTCGGGCCTCCCTGGTTTCCTCTGCCCTCTACTGAGAGGCCTTGCACTGGGCCTGCTGGGACGGGTGGCTGGGCCTGGAGCCACAGGGTGACCGTCCCAGCCCTTGTGGCCTCAGCAGCCTCAACCCCTTCTCCAGCTCCAGGGACGGTCCTGCTGTAACCCCTCAGACCCGCGTTCTCAGACAGGCATGCTGCTCAGAGCTGTGTGCGCGCGCGCACATATGTGCATGTGTGTATACACGTGCATGTGTGTGTATACACGTGCATGTGTGTGTACGTCTCTGTATGTGTCTATGTTTCTGTCTGTGTATGTCTGTGTTTCTGTATGTGTCTCTGTGTGCATGTCTGTGTGTGTGTGTTGAGCGAGGGTCCGTTGGAGGCCAGTTGCTCAGGCTGTGGGTCCTGGCCCAGCGCCTCCCTGGTTATGTGACCTTGGGCCAGGCCTCCAACATCTCCAAGTGGCCCCTATGAAAGGCGCCCTGAAACCCCGGCCCAGGCTGAGGAGAAGCCCAGGACGGGAGAACGTACGTAGGGTGCCCAGTACGTAGGGTGGCCGATGTGCTGCTGCTGTGGGGACGCCCCGGTGGGACTGGCACTGCCAGCCGCAGCGCTCAGGTGAGGGGCGCACCAGCAGTGCAGCTTCGGGTGAGGGTCCCGTGGGCTCTGCCCTGCCCACAGGCACTGGTCCAGGCTCCAGCGTAAATCCGAGGTCTGGCCCTGCCTCCCGAGATCCTCAACAATGACCATGTGATTATTTCATCACCCGCGAGTGTGCCAGGAAGCAGCAGCAGGAGCACCACGTGGCATCGGCCTCGTGGGAGGGCGAGGGTGGGCTTCCTGGGGACTCCAGAGCTGAGCCAGGAGCACCGCCCAGGAGCACAGGGAGGCCCGGCGCTGCTCCGGGGGAGGCCCTATGGGGCGGGGCGGGCCCATTAGAGGAACTGAGAGTGGTTAGAGGGTCTGCAGCCTGGGGAGGGCGAGTGTGTGTGTGTGTGTGTGTGTGTGTGTGTGTTTTGTGCCCACACATGTGTGTGCATGCGACCTGGGCTTCAATGATATCAGCTTTAAGGGTCATGGGGAGTCATGGCAGGTTTGACAGGGTTGGAGGGAGGGATGGTGCGATTAGTGCAGCGGTTCTCAACCTGTGGGTCGCGACCCCTTTGGCAGTCGAACGACCCTTTCACAGGGGTCGCCTAAGACCATCCTGCATATGAGATATTTACATTACAATTCATAACAGTAGCAACATTACAGTTATGAAGTAGCAACAAAAATCATTTTATGGTTGGGTCACAACATGAGGAACTGTATTTAAAGGGCCAGAAGGTTGAGAACCACTGGATTAGTGTTTTTAAAAGATCACTCAGGCTTCTGCAGGGGGCGGGAGGGGAGGCTGGGAGGCCTGGGCTGCTGGCTGGGGTGAGGTCAGGGAGGAGGGGGACTGTCTCAAGGCAGGGGGGAGAGTCAGGGATGGTGGGGGCTGGAGGGCACGGGACCCCCCTCCATCTCTGTGGACCAGGGCGGCACCCTGTCCATTTCTCTCCCAGCTTGTGGCCAGCGTGAGTGACAGGTGCTCTGCAAACTCTCGTTGAGTGGGTGCTGCTGGGGACTGCAGACGGAGCTGGGTGTGGAGGGAAGCCGAGGGGTCCCTTTCTGACGTGATATTGGGGAGCCCAGAAGGCGGCTGAGGTCTGGCGCCAAGCCTGGACTCCCTGCCGTCCTTTGCCTTCCTACACCTACAAGGACCCAGCACAGCCGGGGTCTGGAGAGAAGGTGGTGGGGCAGGTGGACCGAGGCCTGTGGACCTGGGGCAGGAGCAGGCGTGTTCCCACCTCCAAGCAGATCCGTCGGTTGCACACTTGTGCACAGGCCTGGTGCTGGGAGCCTTGCTTACTCACCCCTTTTGGTGGCATCTGCGAGTCAGACACTGTATTGCTCAGTGTGTGCAGGGCCGGGGTCCGAGCCCCCACTCCGTCCTGTGGGCAAAGCACTGAAGGTCGGCCTCGACGCCCAAGGTCATTCCAGAACCAGCAGGAAATCTCAGAGGAGGCCCAACTGCGTGGAATCCACTCCTTGCAGAGCACGTGGAGTCTGAAACCACAAGTGAGGTCAAATCAGGGCCGGCCGAGCCTAAGTGCCGACACCTCCCTCCAGCGGTCCCAGAAGTCTCCACGAATTGCCGTTTACTGTGTACCAGGTAATAGACATCAACGCATGTGGTCACCCCCAGACCGTGTAAGGTGGGCGGGGCTGTCCACAGTGGACCGATGGTGACCCCCAACTCAGAGATTTGTGACTTGATCTGTGCCGGACTGAGACCAGACCCAGGCCTGGCCTGTGGCCCCCAGAAGCCGTGCCCTTAACCCCCCTCCCTCCCACCTCCTCGATGGGCACACCATGCTGGCTGGCGATGACTCGGAAACAGATGCCTTGGCCCTGGTTCTGAGTAAGAGCCCACGAGACACGCTGTCTGCCAGCTCATGAGGACCGTCCCCTGTCTGGCTGAGCAGGGGCTTGAGCCTTTGGGGGCTGGGGCAGGAAAGGCATTTTAGAATTTGGGGTCAGAGGCAGAGAGGGAAGCCGTGGTGATACTGGGAAGTCCCCACTCCCCAAACAAGCCAGCTCAGGAAGTGAAAGGGGGCCAAGGAAGCGCCAAGTTCCTTTTGCAAGTTTGCTTTCTGCCTTCTACAATGTTTCTGCAAGCGCACGTAACCGCCGGGAGCGGATGGAGCGGGTGCCTTCGAAGCGGGCCTCCGCCGCAGCGGGCGGGGCTGGGAGAGCAGAGCGGCGAGATGGTGGGGACCCGTGGGCACTTGAAAAATGTGAGGTGGTTTGAGCTGCTGCCCAGGCTCCCTCTGAGAGATGAACTCAAGGCCCTGGGCAGGAGACGGCTACCCAGGCAGGTGCCATCCTAATGTGTGACTTTCAGTAAAATAAACAGGAGACAGATGGAGAAAACCAAAAGTTAGCAAAGTCTCGTCGGTGATCATTCCTCCGATAGCAACTTTGCTAACTGCGAACGTTGCATGATGTGTTTCCATAGAGGAATGCATTTATTTACTGTGATGCGATATACATAAAAGTTCCATCTGGGCCATTTTTAAGCTCAGTGGCCTTAAGCGCATGCACAGGGCTGCGCACTCATCTCCAGCGCTTTCACCCCAAGCGGGAACTCTGTCCCCATTAAACACGAACCCTCAGCCCCCGGTGACCATCCTGCTTCCTGTCCCTGTGAACTGACTCCTCCAGGGACCCCGTGTGTGTGGAATCACACAGTGTCTGTCCTTCTAGGTCCGCTTACTCCCCAGCATCATGTCCTCAGGGCTCCTCCGTGTTGTAGCAGGTGTCAGAATTTCCCTCCTTTTACGGCTGAATGATGCTCCATCGTGTGGATGGACAGGTTTGTCCATCACCCGCCCCTGGACACTGGCTGTTCCCGCCTCTGGGCTGCCGCGAATGCTGCTGCTGCGAGCAGGAACGCTCGGGCAAGGCAGGGGTCCCAGGGCACCTGTGGCGAGTGCGGGTGTGCAGCACTCTGAGGGCCAAGCGTCCTGGGCTGGCATCACAGGGGCCCGGGCGGAACCAGCCCTGGACCACGCCAGGCTGCCTAGGTCCGAGTGCCACTGCTTAGCCCGGTCACCTGGGGACAAGCCCGGGCCCGGCTGCGCGCTCCTCACCTGTGCAGTGGGGCACGTGACTGCTGATCGTCCCTAAGGGGGCTCCCAGACACTGCTGTGTCCTCGGAGCAGCTTGGACGGGCTGAGCGTTGTTATAGCAACAATAGTGACGGCAGTGGTGCTGGCAGCGACCAGTTACGGGCATTTACTTTGTGCTCTGCCCTGGGCTGGCACATTCTTGTCTTCCTCAGTGACCCCAGCAGGGACATGTGTCTGCACGGGGTCTCCCACCAGGGAGGGGGCAGCTGAGACTGGCAGCAAGGCCTGTGGGGTTCCAGAGTCTGAGCTCTGGGCACCCCGGCTGCCTGCTCCCTCCCCAGGAAGGCTGAGCCCCTAGGCCTCTAGCAGCAAAAGCCCAGTGCGGGCTGCTGGGCAGCAAAGCGCGGATGTCTCCCAGAGGCAGGGCTGAGCGCACTGAGACGGGCTGGTTAGGCTTTCTTGTTTCTACTGCTCCAGGGACCCGCCAGCGATCCCGGCTGCTTGGTGCTTCCTCTTCTAGGCAGGCATGAGCAGAAAGGAAGGGGGGGTGGGGGGAGGAAGGGGCATCTGGGTCCCTGGAAGCCTCAGGTGCTTGCTGTGGCCTGGGGGAGGGCCTGGGAGCCCAGACTCCCATGAGGGAGAGGAGACACGGAGGTGAGAGGCCAGCCCCTAAGCCAGCGGTTCTCAACCTGTGGGTCAAGACCCCTTTGGCAGTCGAACGACCCTTTCACAGGGGTCGCCTAAGACCATCCTGCATGTCAGATATTTACATTACGATTCATAACAGTAGCAACATTACAGTTATGAAGTAGCAATGAAAATAATTTTATGGTTGGGTCACAACATGAGGAACTGTATTTAAAGGGCCAGAAGGTTGAGAACCACTGCCCTAAGCAGAGGGCCCTGGATGCTGGTTCTATACCCGAGGCCCGTGCTAGGAGGAGGGGCCGGAAGCTCCCCCTTTCACGGGTGTGGGCACTGAAGCTCAGGGGGCAGGCATTGCCCAGGTCATGCACTGGTCAATGGAGGGGCCAGGATTCATCCCAGATGTGCTAACCCCGTGGCCACTGGGCTCTGAAGTGTGGCCTTTAAAGCAAGAGAAAGTCATGGACCCGAGGGGCGGGCAGCCGGCGTCTGCGTGCAGGCCCCCTGACGCGCTAAGGGGCCCAGCCTCTCGGGGCCTCTGCCTCTGCCTCAGCCACGGTCCCACGTGGCCGTCCCAACAGCAGCTGGCACAGCGGGCAGGGCTCTCCTTCCTGTTCCCCATCCCCTCGGGCTGGGCAGCCAGGGCTTCCCGCAGCCCAGCTGGGAGCCAGCGGGACGGCAGTGGTTTCAGGGGGAGACCGTTTCGAGACGATGCAAGAGAACAGGGTGGGTTTTGAGGGGGGGTGATGCTGGGGGAGCCTGTTCGCCACCGTGATGTCGGATGTCTCTTTACTGTCTGGCCCCCCGGGAGTGAGCCCCGGGCAGGGGTGGCAGGCGGCCTGTGGGCGGCCGGCTGAGCAAACTGCCTTCCTGTCCGCAGGTCCAGCTGGGAGCTCCCGGACCTGCTGGAGGGCAAGATCCAGGCCATTAGTGACTCGGACGGGGTGAACTACCCCTGGTACGGCAACACCACGGAGACGTGCACCATCGTGGGCCCCACCAAGAGGGACTCCAAGTTCATCATCAGCATGAACGACAACTTCTACCCCAGCGTCACGTGGGCCGTGCCCGTCAGCGAGAGCAACGTGGCCAGGCTGACCAACATCTACCGGGACCAGAGCTTCACCACGTGGCTGGTGGCCACCAACACCTCGACCAACGACATGATCATCCTGCAGACGCTGCACTGGCGCATGCAGCTCAGCATCGAGGTGAACCCCAGCCGTCCCCTGGGCCAGCGCGCCCGCCTGCGGGAGCCCATCGCGCAGGACCAGCCCAAGATCCTGACCAGGAACGAGCCCATCCCGCCTAGCGCCCTGGTCAAGCCCAATGCCAATGACGCTCAGGTCCTCATGTGGCGGCCCAAGTACGGTCAGCCGCTGGTGGTGATCCCGCCCAAGCACCGGTAGCAGCGGCCGGGGCGCCGCCAGCTCCGACTCCAGCCATGAGACCGCTCCAGCAGCCCCACGAGGACGCCCAGCATCCAGCAAAATACAACCGTTCTACCTTGTCCCGCGGGGTCTCACTGTGCGCACGCCCGATGGCCTCTGCCCTCTCTGATGAGCCGCTGCCTCGCGGGGAGGGGGAGACCAAGGGGGACAGAGTAAGATGAACCCCAGGTGCGCCCTCCTGTCACTGGGGTTTCCTCTCCTCTCCTCTCCTTTCCTCAGTTTCATTCACCTGCAGCAGACGCCCCACACAACTGCTTTCAGTCCTTTTTCTTTAGACGCCTCTCTAGGAGGTGCGGGCGGGAGGAGGGGGAGCTGATGAGTGACAGGCCCGCTCTTACTGACCGTGGGTGCCGGGCTCTCCCACGCGCCCCCCCCCTCGCCCTCCCTCACGCGGCCTTATGTAGACTTGCTTTGCCAAACTTTTGCCTTAAGCTGAATTGAAAGGAAAACCACCGAAACGGATCTAAAGCAGGATCTCTCTTCCACTGGACTTTCATCTCCTGCCGAGGGGTTGGGGAGGGGTTGGGTCCGGAGGAGAGAGACTCCCTGAGCCCCTCCTCCCGGGCATCTTGGGACAGGAGCAGGGACACAGACCTAAAACCAGCGGCTTATTCTTGTGTTTCAGCAGCAACAGAACCACAGACAGACGCTGCCTAAAGAGCCCCAGGGGGAACCCCCACCTCCCCTGTCCCCCCGTCCCCCATCCAGGTGGCTCTGCCGGGGGCTGCCCTCTCCTCTCTTCCCCGCAGCCTTGCCCTGCTCATGGGTCGTGGAGAGAGGGAGGGTCCTGAGAGCTGCAGGTGGAGCCCCGGGCATTTCCGCCCTCTGTGCCCATCACCATCGCCCCCCGGGGGTCTGCCCCCACATCTCACTCAGTGCGCCTTTTCCTTCCCTTCTCAAATGCGGGGGGCGGGGGGCAGCCACGTGGGCCCAGGTTTAGCTCTAGTTGGCAGGTAAGAGGAAAGGCACCCCGTGCCCTCCAGGCTCCTTCTCAGGGGACAACTGAACACAGCGCTGGAGGGGGCCACGGAGGGAGCACAAGGCTTGCTGGGCCTGCAGCCTGTCCTAGGAAGTAAACCAGGGCCCAGGGTTGAGCGGCGGCGAAGCGCAGTGGAGGCTGGTCTGGGACAGTGTGCCAGCCTTTGAGGGCCACCCTCCCCTCGGCCTGGGCACCGGGAGTCCCAGGACTCGGTCCCCAGGGACACCACGCTTTCTTAGCGATGTCTGCCTTGAAGGCTGCTTGCAGGAGCTGTGGGGGGTGCCCCGCTGAAGCCCCTTCCTCCAAGCTTGCCAAGCCCACAGCTCCATCACCCAGGCCCCGCATTCAAACTAGTAATAATCAAGCACAGAAAACCATCAGATGAGAAAAATGATCATTTCTGCACACGAGCCACTTGTAGGAGCCCCAGTGACCACACAGGAGGCGTCGGTCAGCGAGTCCTCGCTCCCTCGTTACCCACGTGACAGTGTATTTATTCAGGGTGCTCACCGTCCATCCAGTCCCTCGCCCGAGCCCCGCTCCTGACAGGCGCGCAGCTATCCTGGGACAACTGGATTGCAAACCGCTTGGTGCTTGGGGAGCCTTCCCCGGAGCTGCTGGTTCCCCTGGGGGGGTGTGAGCCCCGCCTCGAGGTGAGGGCGGGGAGCGCTGGGTCCCAGCTCCCCGCGGGGTGGGACGGGAGGGACCGGAGTGCCGCCTGGCCTCCTGGTGGAGGGCCCTTCTCTGCTCTCAGGTCTTTCTTGTACTACAACGGAGAATGGGCCCGGGGCGGGGTCACGGCGGAGGGGTTCTGACTGGGGTAGAGGGTGGAGGTGGATAGAACAGCAGGGGGGTCTGAGCTGTTTGGGGGTAGAATCCCAACTCAGACTTGAGAAGGGGAGCAAGCCTGTCGGCTGGGGTCAGCGCCTTCCTGTGGAGGGCAGGCCGGGCTCCCCTGCCTCTGCCTGGGCCCCTGCATGTCTGGCCCCCGCTCACCCACTCCCACCCCTCCCTGCCATCTGGCCTTGCCGAAGACCCTGAGAGGCTGCAGGGCCGGCCAAGGACGCTCCCCCTCCTGTCGGGAGCACAGGCCGGGCTTCTGGCCGGGTCCCCAGTCCCCTTGTGTCCCCCCGTATGGACACTGGCCCAGCAATAAGAACCGTGGAGACTACTGTGAAGCAAACCAGTGCACTTACCAGGAGGCACAGACTCTTGAAGAAAATGTAAAACGAACCTTTAAAAAAAACAAAAATATTCACAAAGAGAAATAAAGTGTAATTTTAAAGTAGGGCTGGCCAGGGTCTGGATGTTTCTGAAGTGGCGGTTCATTGTGGGGTTGCCGGTGCCGTAATTTGGGGGCACCTGTGGGGCTTGTGCTCAGGGCCAGGGGGACCCCGGGAGGGGCAGGCCACTCGATGCCACCGCTGCCATCCCGGACCTCGGTCCTCACCAGCGTTCTGGCTGGTCCCTGTGGGGAGGAGGGGGGCAGGCTTGGGGGCAGCTTGGCTTTTTGGCAAACAGTAGAATCCCACATGAACAGGGTGAGTGTACAGACCTGCAGACCTGTCTTCCTAAGGAGGGAGCTGCTGGGCCACGGGATCCAGAAGGTGGCTCTGCCCGGCCCTCAGCCAGCAGCTGATGTGGGGTGTGTGTTTGTGTGTGTGTGATGGGGGGTGGGGGGCTGCACGGACGCTGAGCCCTGCAGTTCATCCTGTCTTCTAACCAGACTTTCCTATGAGAGGGCAGAGGCGGGGGGCTTGGGGGGCCTGGAGGGGGGGTGGGTTGGCGAGTCTGGGCGAGACACCAAGCCCTGCTGAGCCCCACCTCCCTTGCATGGGACATGGGCTCTCTGAGGCCAGAACACCCCGCTGTTGGTATCCAGGTGTTAACTCAGAGTCCTCACGACCACCCGGGGTTACCAGGATCCCATTTCAAAGATGAGGAGACTGAGGGAGAGCGAAGGGGAGAAGCTGCCCAAGGCTGTGCCTGTGGGAAGAGTAGGTCCAGGATTGGAACCCAGGCCCCAAAGCCCAGACACTGTGGTGCATGCGTTGGGTGCTCAGTCCCAGTGACTGTTACAGGCAGGCCCCAGGCCTTTGGCTCGCTCCCTCCTGGGCTCCCGGGGCAGGAAATGCCTTTCTCCCCCCACCTGCCCCCGGGTGTAGTCGGTTCTTGCCCACAGTGAGCTGGGCGCATTCCCTCTGAGGAAGGGCTGCCCGGCCACTGCAGGCCATAGGCTCGCCCGCCGGGCACTGCCCATTCACTGGGCATCGGGGATCGGGTTTCTCCTCTGGGTCCCACCCTGCAGGAGCCCAGCGGCATCCTGCCTCCTGCCTCCTGCCTCCTGGTCGGAGCCACGGCAGCAGGAAATTGCATAACAGGCTTCGCTGGCCGCTCTCCGCCCAGAAGGCTCATGGGTGGTGCAGTCACTGTTGCAGTTTGGCTTTCGGTTGTGGAGTCGGCTCCTGAGCTCTGCCCGCGAGAGAGCGTGGGGTGTGTGTGTACATGCATGAGTGTGAGCAGGGAACGGGTGCAAGCCTAGCCGACGGCGGGAGAAGCTGAGCTGGGTCACAGCGGGACAAAGCCCCAGAGGCGCGGGCACCCCACCTTCTTGCAGCCACGCAGCTGAGCAAGGGCACCAGGACGGCAGCTGCACATGGGGTGACATTTGGGCGGGAGGGGCCTGTGCAGGGAGGGGTTGCGAGTAAAGTGGATTCCGAGTGGCCTTTCCTCACGGTGGAAGCCCTCCAGCCTCTCAGGCTGATAGCAGGTTAAATTTAGAAATCCCAGACTGGGACGAAACAGACACCAGACCCAGCCAGCTGTCGCAGGAGCCGGGACCTGGGAGAGCCTGCTGTCCGGGCGGGGCCGCCCACCTGCCCCGGGACGTCTGGGAGAAGCAGGTGCCCCGGGAGCCAGCCACAGCCTGCCTTCCGAACGGAGTGCCGGCGCCGCCACAGCCCTGTCAGGTCACCATCCAGCACATCGCGTGGTGCGTTGCCCCTTTTACAGACCAGGAAACGGAATCTCAGGAAGGGTCAAAGGACTTGCTAAAGGTCACGCAGCTGGGAAGCTGCAGAGCTGGGCTGGTTTCCAACAGCCCTCGTGTGTCCGCTCGGTCACTGCTTTTTCTGAGACCACCCGGCCCTTCCACACCCCGATTCTCCAGCTAACTGCGGGGCACAGGGCCCAGAGTGACGCTGAAGAGGCACAGCCCGTTGGCACTGGCCGATGGGAACTACTAGATGCCAGCACACACCCCAGCAAATGAGCTCCATCCCTGAGCCTGTGTCCGAGAGGCAGACTCACACGACCGACACGGGTCCTGGCGCAGCCGCCCGCTCCGCCCAGGCAGGGCCTGCCCCCTTGTCCCTGGGAGTGAGACGCAGACAAGGTCAGTTCCTCCACTGGCTTGGCCTTGATTCATATTTATGGTCCCTTTCAAATCCAACAGACAAAGGGCGGCACGCGGGGTGTTTACTGCGAGTGGCACAGTGAGCGGCCCGTGCTATTCTTGGCGGCCTCTTGACTTGCGGAGTGAGGCCCGCTGGCCGCCTGACCTCGCACGCCCGTTTCCCAACCCGAAGCCAGGACACGCACACCTGGCCCGTCTGCCTGTTGGACTTGGAGAAATATAGGGGTTGTGCTCGGCGTTAACCACACACGGGCTGCCTGAGAGTGAGGGCGCTGGGCTGGCGTTTATACCGGACTAGACTTCTCAGTTAGGCCTAACGCCACCACGACGTCCAGACAACAGGACTTGCTTATCCATGACTCTCAGTATCAACAAACAGATCTCGATGAATGTAGTACCATTCCCCCTTTTTATAGAAATGAAACTGGGGCTCAGAGAGGTTAAGTGACTGGCCTGAGATCACACAGCGAGGACGGGACCCAAACCAAGGCACATCCATGGTCTTAACCAATAAACAATTTCTTCCCCTCTTTGGGTCTCAGTTCCTTTCTATATATATTAATATATTTCTTTATTGATTTCAGAGAGGAAGGGAGAGGAAGAGAGAGAGAAACATCAATGATGAGAGAGAATCATTTATCGGCTGCCTCCTGCACGCCCCCCACTGGGGATCGAGCCCACAACCCGGGCCTGTGCCCTTGGCCAGAATCAAACCTGGGACCCTTCAGTCCACAGGCAGACGCTCCATCCACTGAGCTAAACTGGCGAGGGCGCCTTTCTATATTTAAGGAGGAAATCAAACAAGATAACCTTCAGCCCTAAAACGCTGGGCTTCTTTAATCCCCGCCCGGGCCCGCTTTGCCTCCCTGAACACACAGCTCACAGCCAACACACGTGGTGAGGAAAGGGCCTGGGTGCACTGTGCGTGGCTGGGACAGCCAGCCCCCGGCTGCCAGGAGAAGGCACGAGGTGCATGCCGTGCTGCCAGGGGGCTGGCGTGGGGGCAAGTGCTTCTGGACAGTGACATTGGCCCCACCATCTGTGACGCTGGCCACCACTCAGCAGAGTCCAAGCACCTCTTGGCTTGAATGTCTCAGAGACGATGTTTATTCGTTTCCAGAACGGCTCAACGTGAAAAAGAAGTCCCTATAGACAAGCATCAGGGCTCAGCCAGGTCAGCTGCCTGAAGCCCGAGTCCAGGCCGGGAATCGGCTCAGAGCAATTGTTGCCATTTGAGAAAGAGAGGCGCTCCCTCTGGGCCCGGGGAAGGAGGGCCTGGGGGAGGAATCCAGGCTGCACCCTCAAATTACCACATGCAGAACCTTGTGACATAATTGTAAGTTTCATTTACCTTCGCAGGGGCAAATGCTGGTTCCCTAAAACACAGAATGAAACTGAAAAGCAAACATCCAAGACTTGAGGATCCTAAATGCTCTGACAATATTGGCGGGTGACAAGCTGCTCCATCCGCTCACACAGCCCCTTCTGTCAGCTGCAGCCAGTGACTCAAAACCCAGCATGCGGCCCTTCCTGCTCCCCACTGGGCACCAGCAAATGAGCTCCATCCCTGAGCCTGTGAGAGCTGGGGGATGGCAAGACGGGCAGGGGGAGTGAGCATGCATGGCTGTTCTTGCCTGCAGGGAGAAACCTGCCGACAGGCCAGGGTATAAGGGGTCCTCTCCCTGCGCTAGCCCTGCCCGAGGGCGTCCCTCCTGGGGGAGGGGGTGTCCGGGTCCTGAAGTGAGTGCTGCTGGGTGAAAACACTGTGGGCGTGGACTCAGGGCAGGGGCACTGGGGCTTGTGCTCGAGCCAGGGAAGCCACCTGTGAGCTGGCCGTGCCTGTGCCAGGCATTCTCCCGCGCCCTGCGCATACCTGCCCCGAGCTGTGGCATTGGCCATTTTAGCTCGGGCCACGGGCACCTGTTCCAGCTGGTAAGTGGTGGAGGATAGCCTTGTCCTTGGGTCTGTGTCCAGTTTGTGCTCATCACCCACTGTGAGCCAAGGACAGCTGCTCCGGCTGCAAGCTAGCGCCTCCCTGGGCTGGTGAGAACCAGAGGCCACTGCCGGAGGTCTGGGCCAGCCCGGGGCCTGGCTCTGACGCTGGCCTTGCTGTGGCCCTGGTGTGATGGGCTGGCTCCATGCCCTTGAACCTTCTGTAAAAGCCCTGCCCCCACCCCCTCATCATCTCCTGCTGGGGTCTGGCTTTTTTTTTTTAAATCTTCCACTGCACTAACTGGTTTGGTTCAGCGGATAGAGCAACAGCCTGCGGACTGAAGGGTCCCGGGTTCGATTCTGATCAAGGGCACAGGCGGGGTTGCTGGCTCAATCCCCAGTGGGGGGCGTGCAGGAGGCAGCACATCAATGATTCTCTCTCATCATTGATGTTTCTCTCTCTCCCTTTCCCTTCCTCCCTGAAATCAATAAAAATATATATTAAAAAAAATCTTCTACCAAGGAGTAAGGATATATTTCCCATTGATTTTTAGAGAGAGTGAAGGGAGGGGCGTGGGGGAGAGAGAGACATGGATGTGAGAGACATTGATCAATTGCCTCCCACATGCACCCAGATTAGGGGTGGGGATTGAACCTGCAACCCAGATATGTGCGCTTGACTGGGAATCGAACCCATGACCCTCCTGTGCCCAGGCCGACACTAACCACTGAGAAACTCCGGCCAGGGCGGGGGTCTGGGTAGTCATTCTAGGGGGGCATCTATCCCAAAGGTCCTGCCTCTTGCTGTCCTGGCGCCACCAGGGCTGAGAGACAAGGCTGACGTGGTGCCTGCCCTCATGGAGCTGACTGTCTGGGGGGAGGGGCAGATCAGACAAACAAATCGACCAACCAGTCACACACATAACCAGGCAGGAGAACGGACCGGAGCTGCTGGAGCCGAGCAGGGCAGGCAGCCCAGGGAGGCGGTGGGCAAGGGAGTGATCTACACTGACTGCAGGCCGAGGCCAGACAGGCCACTGGAGGAGCAGAGCAAGTGCCCAGGGACTGGAGAGTATGGCGAGAGGGGGCAGGAGAGGCAGGGGGACCGCACGTGTGACCCACAGGCCATGGTGAGGATTCCCAGGTGGACGGCCCAGCCTAGGCACGGCTGTCACAGCCTCGGAGGGTGGGGAAGCACTTCTGCTTCTGATCCGGCCACAAGGAGACGGCGGACAGTGCTGGAGGGACATGCGAGGGGAGCTGGGCACCACTGCAGCGTGCTGCCGCCCCTCCCCCACGGAGGCCCTTTCTTCGCAGCTGGCGGTCCAGGGCTGACAACAATGTGGAGAATCTCCGGCCAGGGCTGCGGAATGGACGGGGTTCTATTTATAAGCAGAGAGGGGCTGAACAATGGCGCAGTGGGTCTGACCTCCTGTGGGACTGGAAAACCTCAAGCCAGGCCCCGGAAGAGAGAGCAGAGGAAGGAGGGGATTAGACGGCCGAGGGCGTGCAGCCAGCTGCTTCCTCCAGACCTGAGCCCCTCACCGGAAAGCTGGCAGGCCCATCTGTGTGTGGGGCGTGCCCACCCCACGTCGCTACACAGACTCAGCCTCTGCCCCTCCCTCCTGGGGTTGCGGTTTAGACAGACGATGACCACGTACAAGGCTGGAGACAGCAGGGTGGGGGCAAAAACTACACGATGGGCGGAATGTTTGCTGTGGTCCACGTCCATGGTCAGCTCACTTTCACAGGGTGGACAGGACAGCTGTGTGGTGAGGGCTCAGCAGGGTCCCGGGTGCCAGTGGCCTGGTATTTCTTCTAAGACAAATGACGACTTTGGGGAAGGCGGGGTGGCCGGCCTAGCAGAGGGCAGGGGTGTGGCACAGCCCGGGCTCCCTCTGGTTCCACCACTACCTGGCTCGAGACTCGGTAAACCGCTCATTCTCTCAGCCTCCCGTGCTCACGGAAGATGTGGGTTATGGCATCTCGCTTGTAGGTCGAATGTGAAAATGTCCGAGAAGCACTTAGGATGGACAGTATCTGTCACGAAGGATCACCCAGTGAACCACCACTATTGTAATCGAACACACGGGCTCGGGGTGCGACCACGGCCTCCACTGAAGTCAGCCCCCAGATCTGCAGATTCCCAACTGAGGCTCAAAAACACGGCTGACCCGTACACGGCCGAACTGCGTGGGCCACTGGACTCCACGTGTGAGTGGGCCCGTGCAGTTCACACCTGCGCTGCCCCAGGGTGGATGGCACAGGGAGGGATGTGCTAGACACAGCCTGCGGGAGGAAGCGGTGCTTCTGCCCAGCGACCCCAGCGACAAGCCGTTCCCGAGGAACCTGGTGCCAGCAGGACGGTTCCAAGGTCAGAACGATTTGGAAATGGCAGCGACTTCCCTTCATTGATTGACGAAGCACACATGAATATTAAAGACTCTAAGGAGTCTTCAGTAAAGAGCTATTAATTTTTGTTCTGTCCGTTCTTTCCCCAACTTGTGAGACCAGGGAGCCCATTCGTTCTGGCTCAGAATAAACTCCCGTAGGAAACACTGAAGCCAGCGGGGTTAGGGCTAAAACCACCTCAGGCCAACTGCTCTGTCCACGCGTGAGCGATGAAGGAACAACCGGGGCGAGGAAGGAGGGAGAGCAGCGCCCCTGCTCTCCGTGCAGCAGGAACGAGGGGTGTAAGAACCAGCAGATGTCGACAGCACCAGTCAGGTGTCCGTGGGGAACTGTGGACAGGAGCCCACAAGCTGACGAACCTGGGGGTTGGGGGGAGGACTGGGAGCCAGGCAGGCGGACACAGGGTCACTCCTCCCCCCACAGGACTGTCCCGAAGGACGGAGGCTGGCCAGGGTGGGGACACTTCCCAGGAGGCCTGCAGAGCTGTCTGAAGGGCAGGAGGGGCCAGCCACCTGTGCTTTCACCTATGTTCTTGAGCAGGTGCCCAAAGGACAGCTGAAGTGAAACTCTGTCCCACTTAAGTTTCAGGAAGGTCCCTTCCCTGGGTTAGTGGCAAAATAATTATGTCCATGGGCGTCCGACTCTCAGAATCGGGGGATGGAGTCACAGTGACTGTGGTCAAGGCCTCACAGTGTGGCCCCAAACCATCTGCACCAGAATCACCTGCAAAGCTGGTCACACACAGATGCGAGGGCCCCACCCAGCGCCGCTGAATCAGAACCCCAGACGTGAGCGCTCCTGCATCATCGCTGCGGCCAGGGCTGACCCCTCACCAAGGGCTCTGTGTTGGACAAGGGGCCCACCACCAGGGGGAAGATGCCCCCAAGGCTGTTTGCCCCAGATGCAGGGCAAGGTCCTGTAAGGTGTGAACTCACCCACATGGGGCCAGATGCTCACCTTGCTCACCCTCACCCTGCCCGGCTGTGCTCCAGTCTCCATCTCACCCCGAGGGAAAAGCCCTCACAGGAGGAGGCCCAGTGCCTGGTTCTGTCTCAGAGCTACTGAGGGGTAGGGTCCGTGGCAGCTGCACGTCCTTCCTGGAAGGCCTGACCTGAAACGCCTCTGGAGAAAGCAGAACTGAAGACGTGCAGCAGGCCAATCCGGGCGGGGCGGGCCGGGCCGGGCCAAGGGGACCGCCGCAGGTGCATCGGCATGAAGGGGACATGACCACGCCCACGTGTCATGTGGGCTCTTCCTGTGCCTGGGAAACCCGACTCCTGGCCTCTGTCCTGCTGCCATCAGAGGCACCGATTATGAACACACAACGTTTACATCTAGAAAAGCCAAGCAAAACCACCAGCTCCTTAAACCGCCACCCCCTTTCCTTCCTGCCTTTCCCGAGTTACTCAAGAGACATAGCGAAGCCAACTGTGACTGCGGCCCTGAGCAGCTGTGGTCCCTTCTCCTTACTGGGGCCCAGCCCCCACTCACCCCAGCCCTGCCCACCCCCTCAGGGAAAGGCTCCTCCCGGGCAGGCTGGAGCCGCAGCGCATTCCCGGCCCACACCCAGAAGCTTGGGTTTCAGGGGCTGCAGGCTGGCTGCGCTCTGAGATGACCCCTGCCACCTACCAGTGTAATCGACCCCAAAAAAGGAGCGGAGAGGGCTCCCATGCCAGCACCGCATTCCCCGCCGACGGTGCGTGCTGGGTGTTATCGGCCGCGCACAGCTGATACGGCCTGTGGAGCACTGCCACATGCCACCTCGATGGAGGATTAAGGCAGAGAATTTGAGGTCAAGGGTTTAGGCCGAACCAGCTTCTATTTATAAAAAAGCGCCTCCGGGGGAGACAGACAGGCAGGAGACTGGCTCGGTCTGCGTGTCGGTCGACAGGATGACACACCGAGGCAGAAGGCACCAGTCACGGTGCTCCCTTTCAAGCACGGCCTCCTCATGAGCTGCCCATCAAAATTCAAGTCCCTTTGTCTCAGGACAGCTCCTGTGTAGACTAGGGAGCTCCACGTGCAGGAACAGCCCGTGCCCGGCTGTGCGTGTCCCAGGCACTGCCCCCTGCTCCGTGGCTGCGGGGCCTCGTGAGAACAGGCGGGGGCAGGCTCTTCAGTTCCAAACGGACCGAAAGGGCACACGCTAAACTCTGGAGGTCACGCTCTTTGAATGAGGCAGATGCCCTAGGTCAGTGATGGCAGTGGGGACAGACCCCCACAGAGCAGGCTGCGTCCCCCGGGGCCCTGGGCGCACAGCACTCCTCTGCGGGCGGGAATAGCCTGCACTCGGCGCCCAGTGCCATCATGGGGTCAGACCCCACAGCAGAGCGGGACCAGCAGCCAGGCTGCGCTCACGGGCCTCGGTGAGCCTCACCTTCCCCAATGTGAACCGTTAGTAAAACATTTCAGCATTTTAGTTTCCCAGCGCGTGAGATGAACAACTGTCCTTTCCAATGCTCCCTGCTAACAACCACAGATGAAGCGCGGCATGTTCTGGGCGGACAGATAACGGGATCCCACACCTACTTTGCTGTGAGGGGGCCCTTGTCAGCCACCGCAATATCGCCGCCTAAGAAAGGAAATAGCCCAGACCTGAGACCCCGCCCGACAGGCACTGTGGAGACTGAAGGTCGGACCTCTGGGCCGGCCTTGCCAACACTCTGCTGTGACACCAGGAAGTAGCACGTCTTCTCGACCCCGGGGCCGCGCAGGGTCACCGCCCTGTGGTTAACAGTGGGCCAGTGTGTGGACCAATGTCACCGTCACTTACGGAGATAAAGGCTGTCTTCTCAATCACCTGCCTGCCTCTCCTCCGGAGCAGAAGACATCAGCTGTGGGACACACGGCGCTAAGGGCCAATGAGATGAACTGGGCCTGCTCCAAGGACAGCCCCGCCGGCATCAGCGCCACTGGTCTGTTCCAGGTTTGCCTCCCGGCTACCTAACCTCTAAGGGGCTACGACCTCTTCCGAAACTCCGCTGGCGCCTGCGTGAGTTTCTCCCTGCCACCCAGTCAAAAAGCTGGCACCGAGGGTCCCGATACCCGACAGCAAAAAGGACACAAGAGGATACGAGTTACTGCCTTGGAAGGTGACAAGCGGCCATCAGTCTCTTTCCTGTGCGGAGCCCTGGGTCTGAGTAGACGGGGAGACTGGCCGACACCCGTGCTTGTCCTTGAAGACGTCCTGCTGGCCAAGGGAAGGTGCACCAGCTTCTCAGAGCCACAGAAACAAGGAGACCTCTGTCCTTGGCTGTGACCTGAAAAACCCACTTACAGCCCAGTGGGTGTGGCTCAGTGGCTGAGCGTCAACTTATGAACCAGGAGGTCACGGCACATGCCCAGGTTGTGGGCTCGATCCCCAGTGGGGGGCGTGCAGGAGGCAGCCGATCAATGATTCTCTCTCATCATTGATATTTCTCTCTCTCTCTCTCTCCCCCTCTCCCTTCCTCTCTGAAATCAATAAAAATATATTTTAAAAAATGAAGACAAAAAACCCCCACTTACATTTTGTATGCAAACAAGCCAAACAGTTTAATAACAGGGGCAGAGGGGGAATAAGCAACATGAAATAAAGACCACGCGCATCTGCCGAGCTGTTCCTGTCTGTCTGGGTGTGCCAGCGAGAATGTCCGCTTTCACGGCTGCTGCTCAGTGACGAGGAGCTGAGAACGCCGATGGTCACGGAACCGAAAGGAGCATGACACCCACTCAGCTTCGCCAGCCACCAAAGCCCTGGACAGACCTGCAAAGAAGGGCGGGGAGGCAGGTCAGCTTCCGGCACGCGACTGCCTGTGCGCCAAGTCCAGGCCCTGAATTTTCACTGTCATCCAATTCTCCACCAAAGCAGAGTGATGATCACAAAATAAGGCTACTGGGCCTGGCACCCAGTCCTGCCTTCCAGGCTCTGCTGACCGGAAGGCCCCCCTCCTCTCTTGCACATGGCCCTGGACAAGGCGCGACCTGGCACCTCCTGCCACATCCCTGCCAAGATGGGCAAATCCACAAAAGCCCAAACCTGCTGCAGAGCCCCATGCTTCCAGGATAAGCTTTTAAACAGGAAGAGAGTACACACAGAGCAAACTGGGTGGTCCAGTATTTTCCCAGGCCACACACTCTTCCATCCTATTTAATGACTCAGAACTGGAGATACTTACGAGTTCGATGATCCAAAGCTGAATCCTGGAAAAGATGGACAGCGGGAAGTTAAAACACACATACACTTGAAAGACCAAGGTGGACCCTCGGCCAGACCCCCTCCCTTCACCCCCACGGAACGCCTCCTGCAGGCCGGGCAGGAAGGTGGGCTGGCTCATGTCCCCAGGGCTCCTCCCTCCTCCCTGCCTGGGTGGGCAGAGGGTCTCTGGTCGGGCCCCCCTCACGTGGCCCCACCGTGACACACAGACCCATTTTTGTTAGGAAAGTGTGCTTTCTCTCCATTCCCACCCACTTGCTTCCTCCTCTCCGTGAGGCCAGAGAAGCAGGCCCGGGGGGTCTGGGCAAGTGGCCCCTGGAGTTTTGTGTCTTATCTGCACAAGAGTAAGGGCGCCGGCTTCTGAGCCGCAGTGTGTGGCACAGACAGAAGCAGAGCATGGACGCTCCAGTCCTGAAGCAGCAGGGCGTAAACGAAATGAAAGGCGTTTCGTGAATAAGGTCTCTACACCTTATTGTTTGTTTGCTGGCTTGGATTTCTGAACCAGTATCTAGTGAGATGATTATTATCTTGCGTTCTCAAATCTTGAGAAATATTTAGTAAAAAATGACACAATGTTGTAAGTCTACTTTAAACCTAGAAAACAACGTTCTGAAAACCAAAAGCCCCCACACCCTGCCCTTCAAGCACTTCCAGCTTTGACAACACTACGACGAAAGCCAGGTAAACCGCTCATCTCTTGGGCGAGGGGTATCTGCTGTCTGCCTACCTCCTGTGCCCGATCCGAAGCCGGAGAAGCCCCCGCTCTGGGTCCCGAAGCCCGAAGTCTGCTGGGACAGCGACCCGAAGGTGGGCGCGTTCTGACCAGCGAGGGTGCCAAAGGACGTGGTGCTGCTGTTGCTGCCAAACCTGGGCCAGGGAGGAACCGACAGTCAGCGCCAGCTGCCCCTGCGGCCGAGGCTCAGGCAGCCTCGTGGTCTCAGGCTGCACGACACGCGAATCGAGGGCACGTGCTTGGTGTGAACCAGCAGCCAGAGCCCAGAGCAACCACCTCTGCTTCGGGGAACAATGACAGGCCCACGAGAGGCAATCCAGCTTGTCCAGTGAGTCCTGTGCCCGTCTGGACACTGCAGGTCGCTTGGAAATGAAGCAGTACTACATATTTTGCTCTTTCTGTCTTCAATAATTCCTCAATTTTATTCCACCATTTCAGCATTTCCCATTTATCGACATCCCCGCCCCATTTATTCGCCTACTCCCTGGACCTTGACCCTGTCTACTTCTCACGCCGAGGTGAGGTGTCCCTGTCCTCACTGCCCACTCCCGCCGCGGGGAGGGCCTTTCTCAAGCAGCAGCGAGGACTCCTCCGACGTGTGTGGGGCCAGAGACCAGGGCCCGCACCAAGGGCACGGCCATGGCTCCTCGGGGACGTTACACTGGAAACCTTCAGCCGGCCCCTGTTAGCCCTGCTCCACACGGTGGCTTGGTCTGAGCTTGTAGGGTCCCTGGGGGCTTACCCGAATCCTCCTGCGCTGGCAGCTGCAGTACCCTCTCCGAACACTTTGCCTCCCGTCGAGCCCAGAGGGCTTGTAAAGGCTGGGGCTGAACCGAATGCTGGCACCCCTCCAAACCCAGGGGATCCCCCAAAAGTAGGAGGGCTGCCAAACACTGGAGCAGCACCGAAGCCACCTGAGCAAAACAGAGGCAAACAAACAGAACAGGGAGAAAGGAGGAGACAGGAAGAGAAGACAATGAGCAGTGAGAAACCAAATCAAAAGAGGAAGAAAAAAGGGAAAATACGTTAGAATCCAAACACAAAGACCTCCAGCAAAGGGCAACACCCCTTCTAGCAGCAAAATACCAATTAAACCCAAAGCAAACCCAGCCACCAAGCCGCCTCCCTCCAGCTCGAGCAGAGGTCCGGGGTCCACTCGCGAGAGCTCCCTGGAATTCTAAGAACCCCGCAGACCCCCTATTTGCCTTGAGCTCCCCGGTCCCTCCCAGAGGTAAGCTGGGCCTGTCGGCTCCAAGTCTTGTCAAATCAGATCGACACCCGGAACCAACATGGCGCATTTCCGGTCCCTTCCTGCTGGGCTGCACTGTGTGGAGACTCCTCATGGTAAAACCGTCCTCAGAAACTTCAATGCCTGCCCCTCGGCCAGAGATGACAGACAGGTTATCACTCAGCACCGCAGGCGAGGCACAGCCTCGGATGCTCGAGTCCCTCTCGGGGAGAACGAATGGGCGACAGCCGAAGTGAGTGGCTCGGCGCTGGCGCTCAGCCAGGCCTTTTATTTATTTACAGCTAATGGCTCTCCCGTCTCTCACCACCGTCTTTCTCTCTCTGTGTGTCCAGAAGAATTTTTGAAATGCTTCCTCTCTGGGGTCAGGAACTACTCCCCCATAAAGCAGCACCCCGCATTTCTTCCCGGGAGGAGGGCTGCTGCATGACAGTGGTCACAGTGTCCAGCTGTGCTCACACGGCCAGCCGGCCCAGCAGAGTGAGCGGCTAAGCATCCGCGCAAAGCCCCCTTCACAGGCCCGGTCTGTGCTCATGGAACACAGGCTGGCGGGCGGCCTCCGCACAGAAAAGGGTCAGGCGTGCCCAGGTGGCCGCTGGGCTGGCCGAGATGCCAGCAGGTGGGAAGAGGACTGTCCTTCCCTGACTGTCCTTTCTGCCTGGGCAGGGTCCCCAATCCCCGAGACACTGTTGAAATCCTTCTTGGCTATCCAGAGACCCTCAGTGAGAGTCTGCTGAATGAAATGAACAAAATAGTACAAGAAACGTGCCTTAAGGGGGAATATTTCTTAAAATGAGTATTGACCTGGAGCCACACGCTGAAAGGAATGATGGCAGCCGAGGCGCAAGCAGCCTGAGGGGACCTGGCTTCTTCCCGCCTCTTTCAGAAAGTGAAGCCCACAGCGCATCTGCCGAGAGGGTCAGCCTGGCCTGAATCCCACCACAAGCCTCTGCCCCTGGACCGGGAGGGCCGGCCAGCTGCAGGTCTAGCTCGCTGTTCTTTCCGCCGTTTCGTGCCGGTGGGCCATTTGTAGTGGCTGCACCACTGAGATGAACTTTTTGCTAAGGCTCACGTTTGGGTTAATATTCTGACTTTTAAAACCTTGAGTGAAATTCCAAGCTATCCTAATGGGCACTGTTGGGTTACAAATATAATAGACTGGAAAAGAAAAAGCGCTAAAAACCCTGCCGCTGAATTATTTAGGACTGACCACAGATCCAGTTACTCTCTCTTCCTAGACACATGCTGGGGGCTGGGTCTAGTGCCTTGCACTCCATATTATGCTGGCTTCTTGGTGGAAGGGGAGTGAAAAATGAGAAGTCACAATGATACAGAAAGTAAACTGCAGGGGGAGAGGAGGAGATGAACACACACCAGCACAAGCGCACACACGTCCCCACGCCCGGGTCACGGCTAAGTGCGCCAGGAAGAGAACAGTCATCCTGGTCTTATTTCTGAAGATCGACTCGCGGGGTTTGATTTTATTAGATGCCTTATTTTCACGATTTTCTTCCCCTGAAGAAACAGAAATGTACTAATAATCAATGACACTGAAATATCTGGTTTACTGACGGCCCTTCACATGCCAGCTGCTGTAGAACAGTCTGCTGTAATCCACCCCAAAAACCTGGAATCCCTACTTCACAGGTGAGCAAACTGAGGCTGTGAAGATATGTCCCGTGTCTGAGTCTAGCCAGCAGGTAAATGGTGCAGCTGGGACTAGAACAAGGCTGAGTGACTCAAAGACCACCTAGCACCTAACCAGTATGTGCGCCCCCCTTCCCCCCACTGCCACTAACCCAGCAACTCTGGCACAGGAGCAGTGGGGTGAGCCCCATGGACTGGGGTGGCAGCCCGGTCATTTTCAGCCTGTCCCTCCTCCTGTCCTCCCCGCCAGTATCTCCAGCAGCACAGTTCCGAATGCAATCGTCTGGCAGGAGGATGGGCACTTTTGGAATTTTTCAGAGATGCCTTCAAACCAGCAGTCAAGGAAGGCTGGCCCCTTGGCAGAAAGCAGCCTCGCTGATGTTCGGAGGCACCTCTCCTACAGAAGCAGCTCCTGAAACGGATGCAGCTACCGAAGTCCCGAAGCAGGAGAGCAGGCTTTCCCACCCGCACTTTCCCTTCCTGGTCACGCGCTCATTCAGCTCATGTATT